GAACAACATTTGGGATGAAACTCACCATCATGTCTGAATGAGCTTTAGCTTTTAAAACAGCTCAGTCTGACGCGAAACTATACAAAATAATAAATCTCAAGAAACTACTGACTCAGAAAGGCTGAATATAAATGCACACCATAAAAAAAATAAAATAAAAAGTATCTTTCCTACCGTTTCAAAAATATGTATACCTTTGTGATGCTCTGCAACATAAAATGCTCATAACGCACATTTTAAATGCCCATCGGAAAAAAAAGCCTGAGAGTTAAAGTGGTAGGAATAGTTTCGCACTGCAGAGCATACGGTCAACATGCTTCTGTGGCTGTAATGGATAAAAACAAAACTGCTCCATAAATGGCTTTGCTTTTGACAAATGTCCCTGAGAAGTTATTGAATGAGCTCTTAAGAAGGTCGTCCTGACCTGATAGGTTCAACTGCATTGCAAGGAAGACAGTAAAATAGTAAAAATGCAACCTGCTTTTAGTATGGAAATGTAATCTCTGCAGGCGGAGCACGCTCCCTCCACAATTGCCCTTAAATGTCAACGAAAGAACAGCCTCTAACTCTGCATTTCACAGTTTACAAAAAAGGAAAATTTCACCATCTGACATTTGGCTGTTTTTAAAAATGAAGAATAACCTGTAAGGCCAACACTTTAGCATCTTTACCTCAACAAGAAGGCTGTTGACCCTTCACGTTTTTCCTCCAGTCTAGTGAAGGTCGTTCCCATTATTTACACCATTTCAACTCCATTCAGACATGATTAAGACTGAATGAATAAAAATGCTGCATCCAATTCATCAGCAGGCAAAAAAGGACCGATTTAAAGCTGGGAAATGAGACTTTTATGTAATGAGTTTCTTTCCTGATGAGCTCCTATTTTGACAATTTATGACGATTACATAAGTCAGACAGCAGCCTGTTATTTATCTCCTCAGGAAAGAAACAAAATTACCTCCTTCTTGACCTCCTTTATTTCTCAAGGAAATTAAGTTTCTTTCAGGAAATTACTTTATAAAAAACCATCAATATAACATTTTTAAACTAAGATGTTTGGTGTGAACATTTGGCTTTTTCAAGGATATGTCTTGATGCATATCCTGAGCTCAATGCATAAAATAACAAATAAAAAACATTTATTCTATAAAGAGTGAAAATTTTGTAGCCAAAGACAAAAAACAAAAACAAACTCTGGCATAAAACTCCCTCAAAATCCATTCAGAAGTTCCAACCAAGAAAAGAAAAGCATGATTAAAATACATAAACAGCCAATGGTTGGTTAGTCTTTCCAATTTTAATATATTTTGTAATTTCTGAATGAAAAGAAAACTAAATAAAAACACTTTCTCATCCTAAATGTGAAAAAAAGCCATCAATATCAGCCAGCACACATCAAAAAAAAAATGTATTGCATTTAAATGAGTTGTCTCCATATAAAAGGATTCCTGCCAGCTAAGGGAGTTTGCTCCTTTAGTATTAAACTCCAGAAACCAAAGGGCTTCATGTATGTGTCTCCAAAAAAAAAAAAAAAAACATGCAGCCTCATTTTTACAAATTTAAAACAAAACGAGGGATGTAATAAAAATGAACATTACGTGGAAGTGTCCAGCAACCGCGAAAACTTCCCATCACGATAACAAGCTAAGAAACAAGACTTTCAAAATAAAATCAAATGGAGGTGTTCCACGAGTTTGAGCTTTTAAAAATGAACAATAAAACCAAATCACATTTCTCCTCATACCAATATGATGGAAACTTTAAATAATAATTCGTTTATAAGCATTAAATCCATGTTTGTTCTCAAAGATTCTCCATCCTACCAGAAAAAAGGTGATGAATTATACTATCAATTTCAAACCAGTCAGATGCTAAAGGCGGACAAGGTAAAAACACACATACCTAAAGCTGCATGTTCACTGCTGGCAATAGTGGAAAAAGTACTTAAGTAAAAGTACAAATAAACAAATAAAAAAAAATTCTAATAAAAGCAAAAGTATCACACTCACATTTGTACTAAAGAAAAAGTAACAAAGTACTTGCTTTTAAAAATACTTCAATTTTTTGACAAACATACTTTCTGGATGAACTGCAATTTTTCACGATTATTAAGTGCACCTAATGAACAATGCTGTGGATAATGCATGTTTTTTTTTTTACCTTCTGTCAAAATTCACATTTGGGACTTTTTATTTTGGAATTTCAGGGATGAAATTTCAGAGTGAAATACCATTATCATGCAACGTTACCTGCTCGCTTTGCAGTCCTCCAGTGGATCAATCCCAATCTAGCATTTTATTACTTTTAAACTCTCAAACAAAACTGAACAAAGAAGTGAAAAACTCAACGTGATGTGAATGTAAAGCTTTAGAATTTGTAGTGGAGCTGAAAGTAAAGGTACTTAATGTAAATTTTAGTGAAGTAAAAGTACAAAGTGTCATGTTTAAATCTACTTAAGTAGAGATATATAAAAAAATAACTTAAGTACAGCAAAGGAGTACTTGTACTTTGTTACATCCCACCTACCTGCTGGTACATAACGACGGATGGCTTATTAATTGGTTAAGATTATTCCCAAAAAAAAAAGAAAATTAAACAGAATCCACTGGACTTTGTTTCCAAGTTAGAAGACGTTTCGCTTCCCATCCAGGAAGCTTTTTCAATTCAAAATTTTAGGAGTAGCGTTTATCCAGTGCAGAGGATCAGGCACCATGTTCAACGTCTAACTATCACCTCAGTGCAACCAGATTTGTTTATAAGAAGGCACAGATTGATTGGTTGATTGATTGATTGATTGATTGATTTATTGATTGACTGACTGACTGACTGCTTGACTGATTGATTGGGTATTTAACAGTCACTATGAGTCGCCCCTATCAGAGCCACATTTGTATGTTGATCAGATTAATAAAAATCCCTGAAAATTAAGATAAAATAGCTGCACATTAAATCACATTCTGAATCAAGGAGCTGATTTCCCATCACAATAATTTCTATAACAGCCCTTATATTGCAATAAGGGGTTATTTTTAAATATCTTATTGGCTTTTATAAATAAAACAAAATAAATAAATAAAATTTTTCGCCATTAAGCCAATAAAGATATTAAATTAAATCATACAAGCATCACTTAAAAATAGATTAAACCATCTGCTTTGGTTGCTGATCCCTGACCAACAATTTTGGGTCATAAGTCGATTCTGTTACAACTTTGTGGGCCAGAAGCTAAAAGGTTTTGGAAGCTCTGTTGTAGATAATAGCTGCGTTGGGAACGCTCTTTAAGTGGGCTGTGTGGAAGGATAGTTTCTAATTGTGTTCCATCTATTCATGCTATTCTGGATTGCTTTAAACATTAAATATAATCTACCTCACTAGTTTGCGTGGTGCCGCCGTTCCTTTTAGAAATCTATGGGGTTATGTTCAGGTATTAATACAGATTTATTCAACATTATAATCAGGATGAAGTGAGGAAATTAGCTGGACTGAGCCACAGGCAGCACCTTTTGGACTTCAGTCTTTGTAGAACAAAAACAGAACTGGCAGACTTATTTTCGATCAGTTGTAGGTTGGCTGTATTTCATCTCCCTCTGGTGTTTTAATATGTGTGTCTGATCTGTCTGTGAGGGCCTTTCAGCTTTGTTGCCATGGTTATTTTGACATACGGTAGGAGCTTTTCAGCTATTTATGCTGCTTTACATATTTCTTTGCAGGCTGGAACTGGGTAGTTCCTACAACTTTTTTTTTTTTCACAAATTGGGATATATAAAAGAAAAGGTGTGCATTAAAGAGTATTAACTTTCTTACAGTATTTTAAAATTATAACTTTTAAGAATTCTCCCTACCTCCATCTTTAAGTTAAAAAAAATTGTTTTGTTATGAGCCCAGTCATGCACTGATCTAAGCTGCTTTTGAATATACAGAATTAAAAATTAAATTTTTTTATGGCAATCCTTTAGATTCATGCACATCAATGCATATTGCTGGTTAGTCATTTAAAAGGAGCTGCGCTCCTTCTAAATGCAATACATGCTTATATGAGCATAAAATTGGAACACTACTAATAACTAATAAAATACACACTGAATGATTTATTTCATTAATTTATTTCTTGGTTGAGGGGAGAAGAAATCCCAAGTTTAGTTTTTCAGTTAAATAAAATAAAAAATGAATACAAATAAAGTTCTCTGAGTATTTGTATGCGTGTTTCTACAAGAATGATAGAGCTATGAAGGAAAAGATGATTTTCTTTTTTTTATTTCAAAATCAGAGGGTGGACGCTGTGATAGAATTACAGCAGCTTTGTGGCTCCATGATCAGCCGGATCCATCTGTACCTGCGCAGCCTGCAGTCTCCCCCTCTGCATCCCTAACCTCCAACCAAGCGTTATGGCAGGAGTCATTCAGTCTCTGGTAGGTTGAACATATGCCTTCCTCTTCCAGATTGCTGTGCTTGCGTATCAGCCCACAGCCAACTTTGTTACTATTAAGTGTCGATAAGCTTCCAAGCTTTCCAAATTATTCTGCTGTTCCCGTCTGCCGCCATGAACTCAACGAAGTACAAAATGTTATTCTTTTCATACTTTATTATTGTGGCAGGCAGGGAAATTGATAAAGTTTGTTCTTTTATGAGAAATACATGATAAAGTACCCATTTTAGAGCCATCATTACTGAATGCAAATAAACACAGACCTTACTCAACCCGATATTAATAATTGAAATAGTGTGGAGGTGGAAATAAACCAGAAATTCTCATTAAACTTGCCTATTAAAAAAAAAAAAGATTGTTTTCCATCTGTGTTATTTAATATTCTAATTTTAATAATAATTATAATAATGAGTGAAAACAAGGCAATGAAGGGCCCAATAATCATAAATGTATGTTAAAAATGAGTGAAAATTGTTGAAACTCACCTTACTTTTCTAATAGTACTAATTATATTTTATGTAGTAAAAACACTTTTTTATTTCTAATGTCTATCAAGCTAATAAAAGTGCTTTACCTGTACCGAGGAGTAACAGGACCTTCATGCAGAGGTACTCTTCGTAGGAGACCTGCAGTCTGACAAACTCATTGCAAATCTTCAGCATCTGCTCGCACTGGTCGCCCATTAAAGGCAGCTTCATGCGCTCCCTACGACCGGACACAGGAAGTAGACATGACAATGGGAAGACAGGTGGAACATAAACAACATCAAAGTTTTTCACTAATTCTGCCATTCTTTCCTCACACTGAAAGTTATTCAACAATACCGTATTAGAATAGAAGAGGAGGAACTTCACACTATATTTCTACTCTTAAATACCACATATAACAATTTATCAGCAACAATTCAAATGGCACCAGGTATGACTCATACCACTAAAACTTGTTTTCTTTTTCTTGTTGTTTTTTTATATCCGCTGTGTACATTTTAAAGGTTGAATAACACTTGTGTTCTTTTTATTTTCATAGTTTTTAAGCAAAAGAACAGCAGTAATTGTGTGCTTATCAAGGACGATACCTTTCAAAACATTCCAGCCATAGAACATGACTAAGAAGAATAATGTTACACAGAAGGAAAACGCGTGATTTTAAATATTTTTTTCATGAAATAAAAATCGGAGGAGTAGAAAAATTAAACCTGCAAACCAGCCGAGTCATTGCTTTAGTAGCTTTAGATGTCCAGTTGATGCAAATAATGCCCGTTTTTCTCTAAAACACTCCAAGCTTTGTTTAGATTGACTGAAGGGCATCTTTAAACAGAAGATTTTGCAATCTTGCTACAGTGACATCAAATTGATCTGGACTCAGGGCCATTCCTGTACATGACTATTGTAGCTCTGACTCCATGTTGGGATCCCTGACCTTCACCAAGTCTAAAGCATTTTGCAAGTTTTAACATGTTTTCTTCCAGGATCGCTCCGTTTGATATCATTCTCAGGACTTTCCTCTTCTACCATTTTCCCATCAACACTGATCAGCTTCTCTGTTCTTAAATCCCCACAGCATAATACTGCCACTACCATTCTTACAATGAGTAGAGTACTTAAAATGCCCCATGTTCATCTGATATGACTGCAACAGAAGTTTGCTATATCTCATACTTGACTGGACAGCTATCTTAGAGATGCTTATAGTTGATGGTTGTCTTATTACTTATTTAGATGGTCATATCTTGGTTCTTTTTGGTGCCATACTACTTTATTTTTTTACTGATGAGTTTAACAGTTCTCAGTGAGGCTTTGGATATTTTACACAGAGCGAAAGAAGCTAAAACAGATGTTGAGACACTTCATATCTTGTTAAAAAAAAAGAAAAATTGTGCAATATTTCTTTTAAAAGACTAAACAAGGACAAAAGCAGACTTCTCCTAAAATCAAATACGTTGAAATAGGTTTCTAAGGTCTTGTTGTATGCTGACTAAGATGACAAACCCAGTTTTAGAGTGAGTCTGAAAAATCACGTCTTCCTTCTGCGTAACGTTATTCTACTTAGTCATGTTCTATGGCTGAAATGTTTTGCAAGGTATCGTCCTCGATAAGCACACAATCACTGCTGTTCTTTTGCTTAAAAACAATGAAAGTAAAAGCTTTTCTAGATCTATTTGATAAAGTTCATACGCACTCATTTATGACGAGATCTGGGGCAAAACAGAGCATCCTGCCGTTACACTGCTCATAGGATCTCCAACCAAGACCAAAGGACATCAGGAAGAGCCAGGAGCACTGCAGCAAAGTCATCTGGTCATCAAGGTGCAGTTCACGGAAGCCTGGCAGGGACAGAAATGCATAAAGATCAGACCTGAGCAAATAAAGGGAATTCCTGCATACAGTATATACATTTAAATAAAACACATGTACAGACCTGTACATTTGTTTTGCATTAAAATATCTGCAGTAGCTATAATTAATGTAGTGTTCTGTTTGTTAAGAGGAACCCCTCAACCCTCTCTTAGAAGGTGTAGCAGGGATCTGATGGTAGATTTAATCTCTAGGAATTCCCCTAAAAAAAAAACTAAATTACACCCAATAAACTAGTTTTATTCTATACTGTGTTTTTCTTAAGGTTAGATCTGATAAAAAATCTTTGTAAAGTTCAAAGCAAATATTCAAACGTTTATGAAGTTATGTGTCTTTTTTTTTTTTTGGTCATTTATATATTGTCGAGCATTTTATCCAGTATGGAACATGAACCATCGAATGCCTGGAAAAATATCTTACTAATGATGTTTACAGCATGCTTAGTATTTGCTTTATCTTTTTTTTTTTTTTTATATATATATTCTGATGTAGTAACAATAGTGGGGAGTAGAGTTGGACAATTTATCGCAATTGAAATATAATCACGATTTAACAAAACGTTTTTTTTCCATATTACAGAAGTACTGTTATGATAGCATTACATTTACAGGCTTTCTAACTGAAGCCCTTTAGATGGCAGTAATAGGTTTAAAGCAGGCTTGCTGTTACAAAGAAATGGACAAAGAGTTGCAGCTAGCATGCAAATCCATGTGTACGGGTAGAAGTTAGCATTTGTCCATACAGCAGGGACAATAAAGTAAAGGCATTGAATAATGCTAAAAAACAGCAGTATTTATACAAATTTGCTTAGATGCAAATTTGCTTAGAAGTTGTAAAGATAAAATTGAAATAAAAAAAACAAATATTTATCTGGCTTTACTAAACAGTTTATACAGAAATCAGTATTCTGCATTTTATATCTACCAATTTATTTTATCATTCAGTGCTTTTTATCTTGAGTAGAACATGTTTTTTTCTGGTTTTATTTAATACTTCAAGCCTTTTTTCACTGAATCGACCTAAAAAAAAAAGGTTTTCCCTACTGACAAAAAATAAAACATCCCATTTGTTCACATTTACAGAGGAATTAACATTGGCTAAGATGCTTTTACCGTCAAATCGCTATTAGCTGGCGCTGTTCTGACCAAATCGTGCTTTCCTGAGCCACAATTACTCTGATTTCATGCATCTGGTGCAAACCAAACATTTTGTTAATTAGTAAGACTTAACATGTTTTTAATACCTCTACCCTGCAGTTAAGAAAAAAACTCAGCATCTAAGTAAGATAAACTGAATAAATCAGTTTAATCAGAAATCAGTGTTCTGTGTTTACAGGTCGCATTAACATCAGGGGACCTTTAAAAGTAAAACAACTAAAACAAATTGCTTATTTGGGCTTTTACATTGAAGGACACATTAAAACAAACATAGCTGTTAAGAAGATGTCGGTACCTGGCAGCGACTTGGCCCATTTGACGGCGGAGATGACCTGCTGGCCTCCCAGTCTGTTGAGGGTGCTCAGGAGACGGGACGAGGTGTCTGGTAGCGTGCTGTCGTAGCCTGAGAAAATTATCTCAGGCTCGATGGCCTTCAGGACAGAGAGCATGGTGGGAACCAGCTGGGGCATGCTTCTGGGTATGATGGCCACAGACATGTTGCCGGTTGGTTCTGGGGATCGCTGCTGCAGCTGCTGCACTCTTATCTTATTCTTCTTGTTTTTCCTCGCTATGGAAACGAGATAAAAAAATAAAAAATTATTGGTTGACATTTAGAAGGACGAATTTCATTTCAAACACAATTTAAAAATTGCGAGATTATGTATCATAGCTTTATAGCATAACAGTACATTTTAGAAGCTTATCAGAGTTAAAGTACATTTCTATTATCCTCACTGTTTTACCTTCATGAAACATTGCTCACTGTCATCTTACTTTTAGAGAAACAGAGAAGCTCTCGCAGTGAGAAGGGTTACTCTGACTGAGTCAGTTGCAAAGGAACCACAAAACTAATTAAAAGTTTTGCACCACAAATGTGCAAAAAGAAAACCATGATGCACCTGTGACAATAGACAAGAAAGTAATCAGAAACTGTCTGTCAATAGCAAACGCCTTCTGTGCACATAGCCAAATGGAGCCGATGTTAGATACAGATCATTATCACTGTAGGTAATGCAGGGTAATTCATACTGAGGAGTAAAGCATCATGGTTTCTTTTCCATCAAGAGTAAGATGTGGCAGAAGATAGATAAAAACACAGAGGGCTTCTTCTGCAGATGCTGCTCTGGTCTGCACATAAAGTTCTCTATGTACTGCTCAGTCTAAATTCCCAGGCTCCCCGATAGTCATAAGATATGGATCATGACACAAAGAACAAATTCTTTATACAAGATAGTTAATCAGCTCCTCAGAAGTTACTGTCAGGATTGCTCATCGCCTCTGGGCTGTAAATGCCTTGGAATTTTGCAGAATGAGCTGGTGTGTGTGTCTATAAAAACGGGCGTCTGCGTTCCCCTGATGAAACGCCTCTTTTGGATAAGCAGAAAACAAGTGATCGATGACAATCTGATTGCTTGAACTGCTTTGAAAATGTTTGGCTATCTGACACTTAGCCAATACTGCAAACAATCACATCTGCATTGCAATATGTAGTATCCAACAGCAACAGAGCTGTTAATGATTATGAAATATTAAATGCAAATGCATCAACTAATACAATAGTTTGTGTCTATATATATATATATATATATATATATATATATATATATATATATATATATATATATATATATAGATATAAATGAAAGCCTTTGGCTTGTGTAATACNATGCAAATGCATCAACTAATACAATAGTTTGTGTATATATATATATATATATATATATATATATATATATATATATATATATATATCTTTATATATATAGATATAAATGAAAGCCTTTGGCTTGTGTAATACGGATTTATTTATTTAGAATAAAAGAAATGAGGAAATTGAGTCAGGCAGGTCATGTAGCTGCCTTCTATCCACTGAAAATGTGTACTGTCATATACAAGGATAAAACTAAGATCCTACTCTTGCTATTTCTGAGTTTCTCTCCATTAATGCAGCAGTTTTTGCCCGCGCTCTGTACATTACTTGTTCGGCATTTTGACATTTTCTGTAACTAAATGTGGAAAAACATATCAAATGCTGAGAGGTTACCACCAGAAAATAAAAAAAAAACAAGCTTTTACTACTCTCTGCCTTTTTTAATTTCCTCTCCTGGCGTTTCTATGGCAACAGCAAGCCTTTCAATACCAAGCCTGTCTGTTGATGTGCTGACGTCCATCAAATCCCACTTTCGGTCTTCCTGCCTCTCTTGCAGAACGCTGGTTTGTACAAAGTACCGTGAGCAATTTAATGTCCTGAAAGGAACATATGCTTAAATACAACATCTAAGTTTAACACAATCAAAGCAATTGTTGTATTGGACTCCCATATCCAACCTTTTTTAAAGACTGTTACCTAACAGCACAGTGAACACTGAGTTTTACAATTACATTATTTGTAAATGTTAAAATACAAAGGATAAAGTGATAATGAAAATAAATTACTTTAATGGGGTTTAAGCAATTTCTTTGTACATGCTCAAAAACCTGAATATTAAAACTGTAATAATAAACATTTCTTTAAAGAGGAACTCTTTTATGGTCTTAAAGAACAATCATAAAAACATTCAATTTAACTTTTCAATCTGCAGTCTATATGAAAGTTTTCTAATCCAAAAACCAAAGCCTGATATCTTTAGTCTTAGAATAAGCGAATATAAGGATAAACTAAGAGTTTTTATCTTACACATAGATGTATTTATTCATTCATCTAATGGAGATGCATTGATCAGGTTTTTGGTTAGCAATACTTCTTTGACCAGCCTTTTATTGATTTTCATAAATAGGAGAAAAAAGTGCTTCAGGTTCTTCATTTAAGAACTGACATTTTGTGATGATGGATTCTTGAGTGGTCATCTGAACAATAAGCTCCACAGAAGCAGCAACTTTATTGCTCTTTACAAGCAGAGTCAAAGCAGACTCTACCTGCTAAGGAGGCAGAGATCTCTTACAAAGCAGGGGGGCTACTTAAGACCGAACCCCACCTTCTATGGGGTTGGAGCAGCTGTTTATTTACAGCTGAAGGAAAGCTGTTAGATCATTTCATCGGAAAGCCTACTCTGTTCTATAATGCCCCCTAGACACAGTGCAGCTGATGGTTGAAAAAAGGAAAAAAAATAAATAAATGAACATCACCGTTGGACAATGTCTACATTCCATGCATGAAGCTGATGCAGAGCTGCAGAGATCCTTCGGTCAGTGTGCTGCACCTTAGGTGCAGGAAAGAATGTAGAATGCAGATCCTTCCTTCCAGTAAACGGAAGGAAGTTGTTTTGCATCATTGCATCATTTTTAGTGCAAATGCATAATGCATTTTGATCAAAATCATGACACCTCTTCATTTTGATACAATAAATATAAAAGAACTCCCAAACACTTCATCCCCCTATTTTTATTTTTTGTTAGGTTTTTTTCCCAGTTGAACCTGAAGATCATAAAAAATAAAGCCAGATCGAACCCCTGGCTGTGTGATTTATGCGCTTCTAAAACCAGCTTATTAAAACAGTGGTTCATTATTTTGTCTGTGCAACAGCATGCTATAAAAATAGCACCAGTTTATCAGGTTTAGTCTCAGAGCTTTGGCAAACAAAACAGGAAAAGAATCGCAGCCAAGAAAGGACAAGCTCTACTGGGAGCCTTTTTCAAACCGTTTTTTAAACCGACCAATATAAAAACGAACAATGTCTGTTGAAGTAACATACTGACAGAAATATAAATCTTTATTTTCATAAAAATGCAATCTAGTAAACCACCTCTCTGAATGTAAATTTTCTTTCAAATCATTTTTTTCATTTCAGCACTTTATGCAAAATTTTTTATTTTTTTTTGAGTCAGATTAGGTTAGGTTACATTCTGGACAAAGTCACAGAGTCCTTCCTAAAAGTGTTGCATCATTTTTTTGCATCAGTACTTTTAGTGAAACGAGGGATTTTAGGAAATGTCTTTGCCGAAATTATTTTGCCTTTATATGGCAAACCATCATTAAATCTTTCCCTGACATGCCTTTGTTGACTCTTTGCAAGAGCTGGTAATTTATTAATAGACTCTAAGGTCTCTTTTTAGACAACCCACAGACCATAGAATGTTTATTATATCAACTTCAGTTTAGATTATTTTCTAATGCATTTCAAAACTGTCTTCAATCAGCAGAAGCCATCATATGCATAGATTTCCACAAAGGTACTGAAGGAATTTGAATGTTACCTAATCTGAAAAATTTGCAATACACCTTCTGCAGAATACATTGCACACTGCAGCTTTTTTCAGTGCTATGCAAACATTCTAATCAGCCCTAAATATTCTATAACTTATTTAACCAACATGTTTATGCATTCAGCTAACAGTAAGCTTTAAGTTACCTAATCAGCTCATAGTAAAGATATACTATTTAATCTCAGAAAATCTTATTTGTTCCATTTGTTTGAGAATATTAGGGAACAAACAGCCTCATATAGACCAAGGAAAACCTGAAACCTACAGGTCAATAAAGAAAAAGCTGACTTAAAGAAGCAGCCAGGAGGCCTGTGGTGACTCTGGAAGAGTTGCACGTCTCAGGTGGGAGAATTTTCAACATGATCTCTGGTCATGCATAATGAGGAGGAGGAGCAAAAAGACAGAAGGTGGGTGTAAAAGGAGTAGGTGGAGAGAAACGGTCCTACTACTAATCCCTTAGCTTACCATTTTAATCAGGCTATGTGAGGTCATGCCAACATTTCAGTGAGTCAATGAGTTCAGTCCTATACCTACAGTAACTGTGGCCAGGTAATGTGTTTAATAATAAAGATGAAGACCAGAGCAGGTCTCCTCCTCTTACCTTCCAGATTCATTCCTGCCTGGAGACATTTCCTGAAGCGGCACGCCGGGCAGTTCTTCCTGCGAATCTTATCAATGATGCAGTCGTTTCTTCCAGCGCACAGGTAGTTGTGCTGACCTGTACAGAAAAAAAAAGAGAGAAAAAAAAAAGGAGGAAGAGGAGAGTGGATAAGGGGAGACAAATTAGCCAGCTAAGACTGTTTGAGGAGGATTAGCTTGAGCAGCCTGCAAAAACCACACTCGCCACCTGTTGATTTTACAGTATGCCTCCACAAAGTTGTTGCATCCCAGCAGTGTTGACAGCTTCACTCTCAAAGTTTGTGTTCCTACCACCAGGCACAATGGTTGTGTTTGAAGATGAGGGCATAACGAAACCACTTCTACAGCATTTTGACCTGCTTTTTTTTTTAGCAGACTTAAGACGATTGGCCTCTTTATAATTGTTTTCCTACACAAGCATTGTGCCATAATCTCTACAGATGTGGGGGGAAAAAAGGGAAACGGAACAGAATCTTTGATTAGATGCAAGTTAATAAGAAACAGAACCAGTGATAGATGTGTAACCAGAAGGAAGAAATGCAATGAATACCCTTTTGCTTATGTGATAAAATAAAGCCAATCACAGAAATGTTTCTACATCAGGATGTTGTTATGGCCTCTTAATATCCTTTTATGATTTGATGCTGTGCCAACAGTTAACTTATAAATCCGTTCCCGTTCAGGTCAGCTGCAGAGCAAACATGGCTTTTAAAAATGTAGTTTGGTCTACTGTAGGATCAACGGCTCCTCGCCGGTTTAAATGGGGGGATGCCCTGTGAAAGATTTCTTATGGGACTCAATGGATGGCCCGCCGTCTTCCCACCCATCTTAACAGGGTTTGCTAAGAGATGTGGATCAGTAACAAAGATACAAAACAGATGGACAGTGATAGATTTATATACAGCGTATAAAAAAAGGAAAAAAGTAACCTCTTTTCTCATTTTTCCTGTTTCTGATTAGTGGCGATAAC